ACTTTGTAAGGTCGGTCGCAGCATGGACCGCGGGGAGGTGCAAGCAGAAACGAGTTTGCGGGTGGCGTTGTTCCTTATCTGGTCTTCGGGCTTATTTTCTTCTCCCGTAAATGTGTGCATTTCGGTTTGCCTTTACCATCTGATTTGGATTGAGGGATTTGCGGTTGCAGCCCGAAGTCGCCCTGTGAAGCTTTTGTACTCGGGTTAAGTCGAAATCTCGTCAGTAGAGATGCAAACAGCTCCGATGTCGGTCTAGACCCATTCAAGTTCAACCCGCTTGAAAAACTTAACCGTGTATTCAAGGCTTAAAGTTACCATTGTTGGACTGCTTATGCGCTTACTCCATCTGTGGGCATGCTATGCTTGCTGTCGGACTCAAGGAACGCTCTGGTGGACAAGGTCACCAGCATCGTGCATGAGGCCAGCATGATCAAGAGTTTCTGGCTAAGTTAGGAACTCTTTCGTAGTACGTAGGGCTGATATGCAAGAACGGATATCGTTTGAAGCCGGACTCCTCGCGAGGACTCATTGTGGCTCGTGGCTACGAAAGTTTGGGATTGAGAGTGTTGGGATGATGGTGACGGAGAGGGGGTCTTCGGCGGCTGTGGGGTTTAGGCTCTTGTTTTGACGACGTTAACACCACTGCATAGCGCATCTGCACAAGAACACAGAAGAAGCGACGGCTTCTCAGCAAAGTATCGGGTTTTGGATTTTCTGCAGCCGTGAACACCAGCTGCAAAGACCCTGACCTGCAAACTCTAGCGACCCTTCCGAACCCTACCATCAAAACCAGAGAATACCTGAGACTGTAATTACACACCACTGCCCGGAAGACACGCAAGACCATTTTGGAAGAACGCACAAGAAAGGAGAAGTACAAAATGTTATCCTTCCTCAACCATATTGCTGAATACCATCCAGTTCCACATCACGGCACATACTTCCATTGTTTTAGATTTTTTAGCACATCGACTGAGAAAACGCAAAGTGTTCGTGCTCCAATCCCGAATGTCGGTTTGTTCAACTATCGTGGTGCTCATGTTGACCGTAGTTGATTTGATGGAGGCATTTTCAAATTGTGGCAGGGTGCCTCGTTTTTGAACTTGTTTGTTTTTCATGACAAGGATCCAATGACTTATGGTTTATACTAGTGTCCCGCATTTTGAAAAACGCAAAGGTAGACCTTCGTTTGCAACAAGCCCTCCATCCCTGCATCCGGAAGCCTACACCTCAGCACGGCCCAGGTCTGCCAACTTGCTGCCCTGTGGAGATCCATCTAGCGGCTTTTCCAGTAAAAACAAGAAGCAATGACACGCAAAAACAAACCAAAACAGACTTGTGCTGCACCCCGGCCTTCGGCCACATCTGTGGACAAAGTACACCACCCCGAAGCAAAATCAAAACCATTCTGAATACCTGCGCGGCAGCCTTGAAATCTGCGCAAAACCCTACCATACCTTTTCCAGAACTCGAACAAAGCCACGCACGGAAGGTCTATCAAAACATGGAACCCAGCTCCTCATATGACAATGTGGTAACCCGCCACTCCAAAAGTCACATTTACGACAGCAGAAATACAGACCCAAAGTCTGAAGCAGTAACTAAAGAAAGGAAGGCAGGTGATTTACCATACTATTTAAGAGTAAGTCGGAATTTTACAAGAAGCCGCTTGTGCCAGGAGGGATCGCAGC